AGAAAAAGGGCAGGACAATAATCGAAATTGACGGTGAAAAAATCCCGAAAAATTCCTCAGCGATCGGGACGAGATTTCCTTCGATGGCATATCCGGAAAAAGGGCAGGACAAACAAATTTGGATACGGGATTAATGTGATCAAACATATGAGAGTGTGGGGTTTACAAAGTGTATTAGGGTTTTCATTTGCATCATCCGAATGTAGGGTTGGTTCCCAAATTTTATTTTTCACTCGCTCCTAAACCAGGGTTTGTACTTTCCGTATGAAGTATTCATCCCCACACACAGTTAGGAAATTTCCCAATTTTTTCCTTAATTTTCCTGCATTTTTAACAATTTTTGGGAAAAAAAAACTGAATAAAATATACAAGAAATGCCAAGTGGAGGCGCTGGAGTGGGGAACTGCAAGCATGACCAAGAAATGCCAAGTGGAGGCGCTGGAGTGGGGAGCTGCAAGCCTGACCGCCACGCGGCGCATTCCCATGCCGCCACTCGCTAGTTTTACTATTTTGTGATCGTTTCCACTGAAATATTCGATTTTTAAACGACTTCAAGGGTGTAGGGGTTTGCCGCCTAGGGTTTAGGGTTTATTGTCGAGTGCTTAGGGTTAAAAAAATATTAAAGCAATGCTTTTCTTTCGCGCTCATGGGTTTGGGTTAACAAAAAAAAAACATTCCTGCAAATTTTGAATTTGCCGCTCACAGACACGGATTGTTACGACCAAAACAGGACAATTCAAACTTGAAACTCCATATTAGTTCTCCCCAAAAAATAAATTACAATTCCTTTTCAGATTTTAAGGAAAATTAATTGGGGGTTTTGAGCAAATTTTTGGCAGGGTTGTCATCTTCTGTTATCTTCATTTTCCCTTCTGGGCAAAGCCATGTCGAATTCTTCAACAAATGCAATGCTGAGATGGTTATGCTAATTTCGAAATCTGAAAGGAATATGGGCAGACCGTATTGGAAGTGCTTCACAACATATGTAAGTATTATCTTCCCTAAGCCAATAACACTAACTCAGATCGGCCATTGCCTAAGCCAACAAAAACTGCTACAGAGTAGAAGAATTGGGTCTGACATTGTAATCCAAAAATGAAAAATGTAACTTTCTTATGTTTTTTTAGGGAGCTACAACGTGTAGTGGCTATGAATGGGTGACTGGAGGCAACATGCCAACTGAATCTCAAATTGAAAACCAGCTGGATGTGAAGGAACTTAATGCATATGCTGAAGTCATCCGTATAGTGAAGGGCATTAAAAAGATCCTCCTACTGTTGTTAGTTCTATCATTTCTGAATTTGGCAGTTCAAGTGATGAAGAAGTAAGAAACTTTTTGCGTCTGGAAATCTTCCAGCTATTTCAAGTATATATTTATAAATTGTGTTCTGTTTTGGCTTTTCAAGTATATATTTTGCAAATCTACTATAACGAATTAATCATTGAGCATAAACCTTGAACCCTAAACCCATAAACCGTAAATGGTGCCACACAAGAATAAGAATGCTGAAGATGTTCCTGTAGGACCTGCGAAATCCATCAACTTTTCATCTGAGGACCACGATGATGCAGGCCGTATCGGCCAGATGCGGTACGATGCGTTGAAGATTGAAATAAAACGTCAGAAGATACGTCTAAGATGGTATGAAGAAACATTGGGGAAGGGAAAAAGTCAAGCGAAATTACACCTTCGATTAGTCAAACTAATGAAACTGAGGGTTAGGCTTGCGAAAGGAAAAGGTTGTCGAAGGTTCAGGGGGTCGAATGAGGCAGTGCAGATGAGGGAAGCAGAAGCACGTAAAGGATTTGACCTGTTCCGAGAGTATGCAAAATGTGTTGTCCCAAGCTACAACTGGGACGGAATCACCATGGAGTAAACCGTCGCTGGACAACGTTCATTTTCGTTATTTTCAGTAAGTTTGTTTGGAACAAATGCGTAAACGTTCATTTTGACTGCGTTTGTTCCAAGTTTGTGTGCGCTCCTGAAGGTGTAACCATTTTGCTTTGGACACTTCAGATGGTATCTTGTATGTATCCAAGCTGTAAGACGTGAAGAAAGAGCGAGTGAAAAATATGGGAAACTGCTTTTGGTTTATTATGCATACTTTTGTAAAGCTAAATAGGTATGCTTTTATTGAAGTATGTTTACATTATTTTCTGTCAACATATTTTATTTCTCTTTACAAAATGCCTAAAAGGAATGGGATAGTTTTTAGCATTGATTGGATCTCCCTCACAGGAGTTGTTGTTCCTAAAATGGTAATATGAGGTTTGCTTATTCGTGTGAAATATATAATTTGACCAAGAAAATAACAATAATAATATTCAGTGTGTCATTTGAAAGGAGAAAATAAGACTAATTTTTCACAAAAATTACATACGAAGCAAATGTAACCAATAGTTGTGTTATTTTAAATTACATAATCAACATGAAGGAAATAGACGGAAAAGGTTTGCAAAACATAATGTTACGGTTGAAACGAAAGCGAGTTCAAACCATATTCCGAAGATGAAGTGTACACTCTGTATTATCACATCTTATGAAATTGAGTACGAAAGTGAGTTGAAAAAACACTTTCGATGATTTATAGCTTCCCCCAGTTGTGTAATGCCACAAGGAGCTGGTATCAATTTTGGGGCATTTTTCCGATTTTTCTCCTTGTTATTACCATGTCTTCAATAATTTTCCCCTAGTTGTGTAATGAAAATAACGAAATACAACACATGATGGGACCTGACCGCATCAACCTTGGGTAGGTGCATACGTGCACGTCAGTGACCATTCTCTCACCCTTCCTTTGCAAACATCGGGATAATACTTCGACAAATGCTACCACCTCATTGAAAGTTGAAAATTCAAAATTCATGTGTATGCTATCTGTGATTAATACGAGGCTTTAATCCGAATTCAACATAAATCAAATACTCTCATTACTGAACAAAAAAACAAAACTGATGTGAGTGATAGGGAAAATAGATAAAACAAACTGCGGAATACTCCAGGACATCATATATAAACGGTGTCGTATGGCTATGGGATACTCATTGCAGTACATCAACATCTTGTTTTCTTCCTGACTCTTCTTTGGAGTTGTGTTTTGTGCATACAACGAATCCCCCAATATGAAGAAACTAAAGAATTGTCAACATGTCAACCAGTTCAAACGGCAATGCAAATCAGGGGGACTCCGATGGGTCATGGGAATATGCCCCCGATTATCCAAGATCCCCTCTACCACCGCTGCCACTTCCAACCTCCTTGGCAAGCGAGGGCGACTCCGATGATCCTGCTGTGGAAATAAATGATATGAAGAACAAACTGGAACACGACTCCTCCTTGGTCCATTATTGGACTCAAAAGTATCTCAGAGCTGAGCAGAAGTTGGCGTATTTGACGCGCCAAGTGAACAAAGCGCGTTACAGAAAAGAGAAGCACAGAATTCGTGGCCAAAGAAGAA